TGCAGGTTTTCGTTGATGCGCTGCACGCGATTTTTAAGCTGCGCACGAAAGACGTATTTCAGGTGAGCGTCGCCATATCTCGCCTCCAATGCCTCAAGGAGTTGCTCATAAGTCACTTCCTCACCGAGAGCTTCAGGCCTTCGCGCATGCCTAGTGTGAGAGCAGTCATGGCCTGACTTTTATTCCGGCCATTCGCCTTCATAACAGCCTCGAACTGGATTTTGTAGGCTGACCAGGAAGAAGTCCCGTCGAACGGTGGCACCTTAAACCCACGTAGTGAAGGTGTAGTAGCTACTACGGCAGCTGTAGTTCCATCCCCAAGTTTGAGTTCATCCAGCGTTTTCTTAACTTGGTTGATTTGGGTCTCAGCTTCCGACAGGCGGTTATCATGTTGAGCAACCTTATCCTTCACCTCCCGTATCTCTTTCCCGAAGGTAGCGTGAAGGTCCTTCATGAGAAGCATCTGTTCTTCCTGGCCGCCCCGCAGCTGCTCTTCCAACCGGCGGGCCTGTTCCTCCTGTCGGCGAGCCTGTTCCTCCTGTCGGCGAGCCTGTTCCTCCTGCTGCTTTTTCAACAGACGGGCCTGTTCCTCTCGTCCGCGCTGCAGCTGCTCCTGTAGCATCGCCATCAGAGCACCTAAGTCAGGTGCTGCAGATGTAGGAGCTACTGACGGGCCCGCAGCCTCCGTGGCTAGCAGTCGGCCCTCCGTGGTCTGCGGCGTTGCACCACCAAATCTCCTCTGGTCCGTCTCATGCTGGCGTTGACTGCGGGTACGGACACCCTCCGTTTCCTCCTTAGGTAAAATCGGCATGATTTTATCCCACTTCTGACACCAATTGTTACGGGCTTGAGGTTCGTGACAATAAAAATTGCCGATAGAATTACCCAAATTAACACTTTAATTTTCTTTACACAAATTAAAACTTAAAACACTAATAATTAAGCACACTAATTCACTTTATTTCGCCCCGATGCTTCGCTTGTCTCGCCAAATTCAATACTTCCCCGATCGCATCTTGCAGCACCTATAAATACAAATTAGCACCGAAACATCCAGAATATTCAAGTAAACACGCGCAAGGGGCCGAGAGTTTGAGTATCATATTCTAGAAGCTTAGTTCTTCGTTCCGAGACTAGATGGCGCTGTCGGTTGAAAGATTCGTGATGTCGTTTTCTGGAAAGCTCCCCTCGCTCTCGTCCTTGACACTAGATGGCGCTAGTGCCGGATACATGACGTCGACTTATTCGCGCAACACTATATTGGCCATGTAGAGGTGGCGAAAAAGAAAGTACTACGCCATTTCGTCCAGGGGATGTCTTAAGAGCCGACAGAGGGAAACTGAAACAGGAGATGGGTAGCATCTTCTTGATAACAGCGCAAAGTAATAAAGAGCTGCGGTTGCCAACCCGCTTGCCAAGCGTGAGTACTACTGCCAATACCCCGACTATTTATCATACAATGGGGGAAGCCTATGCTCAGTAGTGGAAAGCCCTATCAAAAGTAAAAAAAATGGGAGCCTAAATACATCCTACTACTGTGCACAGACCACAGCGAGTTTTAGGTTAAAAAGGGGTTGATTAAGTTGAATCCAAAGCTGGATGACGGACTTCACACACCTATACTTAATTTCCGAAATATTTTTTAACATCTCAAATATGCAGATTTCTTGCGATGTTTTTCTTCACCACGGAGAACGTGGTAAATCGAAACTTTAAATTGCAGTTAAAATATGAATGGAGTCGGCGTGGAACTAATTTGAGTTGCTTACGTACCAACTATGAAATTTGAGTTAAGATCGGTTCAATTACAAGCTTATATGAGTACAGATGATTTTCTAGATTCTATCAGCGCAGTTCTACTCATAGTTAAAATTTAAAAAAAAACGCGCGTTTAAAATTTGCCTTCTTTGATAGTTATAGTTTTTTTTTCATAAGAATCTGTTCATTTACTCATGTGAGTTATGCAACCGGGACTGTCACAAAAAATTTAATAGTTATTCTGAAAATATGAAAGCTATCGCATTAAAAGTAAAAAAGTCTGCATCAGTGGTATCACGAACTATTCCACCAATTATGGATATAAATCTCATAGTGCATTTAATTTTCCATTACTTATATCGGACTTGATACAAAAAGAAATTGGTGAAATATTGCTAAGCCGATAGACACACAACATATTCAACTAAAGACATTCTATCGTAATCGAAGTTTTGTGTACACAGTTTTGTTAGTAATTTTGCTAAAATTGACAATATTATGATAAAATATTATGACAGTGGTCACAGGTCTATACTATACCGGTCTAACAATTTTTGATACTGCAAAAATAAGTACATATTTAATAGAATTTTGTTTAATCTGACCAGTTATGTACTTATTATTAGTTTATTTATCAATAAGTAGGTGGTATTATTATTATATTAAAACTATGACAACCAAAACTTTATCTTCTAGTACTCAGACTCAATAAGTTATATAGAATAACAATGAGAGACTGGCTCTATCGCACAACAAAGACGCTAACATTTATATAATACATAAATTTGGCATAAAGTCTGCTTTAATCAAATATACGCAATCAGCACCGCTAGCGGTGTGTAATGAAATTATTTTACAATTTAACAATAAAATCTAGAAATAGCAACGTCGTGTTTAGTTCTTAATATCGCCAAACAAACTATTCACTGATGTGGTCAAGCTATATCATCATATAGTCAACACTGTTAAACTTTATGAAATACAGCCATTTCAATAATCGATTAATTTATGATATTATAAATTCTTAGATCTGACCAATACATATATAAAACTCTTTTTATTTAAACTATGGGGATAATAAGAGTTTTGTACAATTGAGTTTTGTTGCAATTTTTATTAGTTTATTTATAGATAAAAAACTAATACCTACTAAAACTTTTTATAGATTAAAAATTATACTTGAAAACATCTTTAATTTTATGATTTTCGATAGATGTCACTACTACCTATTTAAGTAGTAATTAGTTACTACAACATTTATTTATATCTACTAAAATGAAACAACAAAAAACATTAGAATTTTCCCATCAAGTATAAATTGAATTAAAAAACTTTATAATGGCAAATGAGGCAAAATGTCACTACTTTTTGTATTTTACGTTAGATGGCACTGTCTTGTATATATATATATATATATATATATATATATATATATATATATATATATATATATATAACATGTAACATAATTAACGCACTTTGAGAAAAGTAGAAAGTTTATTCAGAATCGTTTACTGAATCGATTCGTATCATTTTTAATATAGGTAATTTTTATCCCAAAAATAATTAAAACAACGTAAGTTACAGTCACACTAAATCTGTACAGTCAAAACAAACTGAAATGTACCTTAACTTATCTCCTACTACTACTCCTTCGTGGATTTGTACTGTGACCACAACATTCTTCCGGAATTAGCATAACTAATTTGATAAATAATCAGTGCACAAAAATGTTTAACTAAAAATTCAGTGTATGTATTATGATTATAACATAATATACTAATTAGGGAGTCTGAGGGTGTGCGTTAATTACGTTACATATTGATATATATATATATATATATATATATATATATATATATATATATATATATATATATTATTTTAATAAAACACATAATCGTATAAAATAGAAATTAACATCTAAAGGAAGGAAAATACCTAACCCTCCTTTTTTGAAGTTCCGTAATCGGATAAAAAGTAGCCTATAAGTAGCCCTGGATCCCTAACTACCTATACACAAAATTTCATGGAAATCTGTTCAGTAGTTTTTGCGTGAATCTTTAATACACAGACAGACAGATAAACGTTCTAAAAACCACTAATTTGGCTTCAATGCCTTTTATTTCGTCTCCTGGACTTGTTTTTTTCCAGAAAATATTACAATATTACAGACACGACTTTTCTATAGATTAATTATATGTATAGATTAATGCCTGTCGATCGACCCTTTTACGTTAGCGTGCGCAGTAAAATTAGTTTAAATAATACATTACCACGAATTTTGAATTTAAGAGGATACCTTAAAAATGAATCGAAGTTTTGGGGGCGTGGTTTATTACTTTGTCGGTGAAGCTAACGGACGACTGCGGGAGTGTCAAAATGAAAGTGATGCAATGACTTCAAAGTACGCAAGATATGAGGTAACCATACCGAGCAAGCGCTCGGAAGAAAATTAAGTAAGCGCTAAACTACATTTTTATTTACTTTAAAACGTTGTTATGGATTAAAAAAAAAACTGGTTTATGAGAACTTAAATATGATTATTTACTTATATAGATAGATTATTTTTTTCTATCGAGAAAATTACATGATATCGTGTTTTCCTTTTATGCATTCCAAGGTCATATAGTAAAAATCGTATAACAAAATTTTGGTTTGTAATCTATAAAACTTTAAAAAAAATATGTTAAATAGAAAAACCACCAAATTGTCGAGGTATCACCACAGATAAAAAGGACAGAATGTTGACTTGAACATGTGCTTATATTATTTATTGTGAACTTTCTCTGCAAAGGGCGGTTATTGCAAAATAACCCTGTATAGGCACTATTTTACTATAGTAATGCTGTTGAAGTTAACCAATGATTTTCGATAATTTCACACCATCTATAATAAACAGAATAAATATCGTTATCGTTGCAGCCCATTAAAGTCCACTGCTGAACATAGGGCCTCCCCCATAGATTGCTCCATAGGGGGAATATTTGCCAAAGTTGCCACGCTTGGCAAGCGGGTTGGCAACCGCAGTTTTTTATACTAAGATGGTATTAGGAAGACGCCGCTGCCCTTCACCTGCTTTGATTCTCCGTGTGACCCACGGGATGATATTGGGTAGAGCCATATTCTTTCAACGTCACTACACGGTACAAAAATAACAATAATATATAAATAAATATAAAGAGGAAAACCGCACACTTTTATACAAAGAGTCTCACGTGAAATGTTTAAATAAAACTTACGGAAAGATCCAATCACAAGGACAACAAGAAATATCCAGTTTATGCGACAGCTTCTAATCATATTTATTGTTACGTACACGTTTTATTATATCTACTTTTTAAATCACTATGTGTCACAATGTGTGTGTGACAACAATCCACTGCAATGCTGTCTAATGTCGTGTGACGGGTATAGAGGAATGGCTGGGACTGACATAAAATATCGAGTATATAACGAATACGGCGCATTTTCAATTTGTCTGCGTATGTATGTACACGGTGCGATAAGCCAGTGTGGCTTGTTTTTATGTACAATGTATGTATTCTGTGGGTTTGTTACGTCACATAATTGTGCTTTGTTTCTGGCGCTACTTAAGTACCGTGAAATGTAACAATGTGGCCTACCAAGGTATCTTTGCCCAAAAAGCAATTTATAAATAAATCCGTTATTGAGGGAAAATATTTTATATTTACGGCGAGATTGATTAGTTCAGTGAAAAGTCAGTTACATTTGTGGCGGCAATAAGTAATGCATTTATTTCTGATTGCACTGAGTAACTTAACAGAACTTGTTAATTGTGGTGGGGGTTTTCGCGGGCAAAATTACTATTGTAAAGTGTTAGAGAATTGTACCTCATGGCGTAAACGCAGGTTATTTTTTTATTGTATGTTATAAAATATCAACTGTAGAGTATTTTAAATTTAATCAAGTTTCAGTATTAAAAGGTTTATAAATATAAACTGGGCAAAGTTACCTAATAATGTTCAGACCCAAAAATGTCAACATTGCCCGCCATCAAAAATGTTAAGAGTTGTCAGATGTTTTATTTTTTTACATAATTTTTTTTTTCGTTTATAAATTATTCGTTCTTTTTACGTATTTTTTAACTTATCAAGAAGTGGAGTCACTGCTCATTTTTTGATTACTTCAATATCAGATGTACTGAACATAAATTTTTCCATAAATTAATGACTTTCGAGAGTGATATTCTAATTTAAAAGTACTTATAAAATTATTTTATCTTGATTTGCCGACTGATTAAAGTCCGACCGACTAAAGTCTTTAATTATGAGTTCGTGATACCGCAGAGTGTAATCATGCACCAGCTCATGATTAAGGAGTCCTGTTAAATTGGAAACTAGTTCGCGATTCCCCATAAAATGCACGTGAACAAACTTCTAGTGATTTTGGCTCTCCGCTAGCTAAACTCAAGCTATTGGTTCAAGATTATTTAAAAAACTTTGAAAACATTGGCTCAAGATAGAAAGCTAGACATAGTGATGAACTAAGCATAGGAACATCATGAAATATTTCTAAAGCAAGAGCCGAAAAGGGTCAACAAGAACATACAAATAAAAGACAAGAAAGAGAAACAAGAAATTGCTAACTACTTTGTAAATTTAATTAGAACATTAAAAGATTTAACCAGCATTCACTGTCTCAACGATAATTTAAAAGAATTTCGATTTTTATTACAGTAGGCTGCCTATAGGGTTCCTCATTTACTTTTTGACTATTTGACTTTTGATTTTATTAACTAAATGAATCTTTATTGATCTCAGTATCGGATATAAAATTTAGAAATAAGAGAGAACAAAATTTAAATTAACATTTAATTTAAAGTACGATTTTTTTATATTCAACGCTCTTTATAGAAATTTAGTATGGTGATTGACATTTACTCGATTGTGACAACCCTAACAGTTTTAACTCTCTCGATGCGGCTTGTACGGAAATGTGCGAAAATAACATCGCCCACTCATTTTTCTGTAAAAGTTTTAACACTACTATAGTCAACCAAATCTAAGAAATACCTTTTGACGTTTCACATTAATCATTCCACATTAACTTTGCACAAGCGTACTCACACGATTTAAAATAACTTTTTACATAAATCCGAAAGATTATGAAGTTATCTATACCTCATTATAACGTCTATAGTTTTTTTATCACTAATTTAAATTCGAATCTTTCAAACAAGGCAATATATATATAAAAAAAGACGTGTGGCACTCGGGGACTGCCGTGGTAAAGCTATTGCATAGCATTTTGTATCAACTTATGCAATTATAATTATTAATATAAGGACTACGTAAATATTCAGTACAGCAAGATTGAAAGAAAAATGACGTCTAAATATTTTTTTTGTATTTAGTAAACGAATAACTAGTTGGTAAATTAATCATAATATATATCTTTTTTTTTCGCCGGAGACTAAAATGATATTGCTTCTTTTCGTAACTGCAGATTCTGTGGATTTATTTCATTATTTTGAACAATATACGAAATTTAAGTGACTAAAATTAAATCTAATCTGAACCAGAATCATAAAAACTGTATTATTCGTGCTAAACGAATCTAATAAATATCTGTTATTTTTGTCTCCTGCGAAAAAGCAGACTATAGGAATCTATCGAATACCTACATAAACAAAATATCACCTATAAATAAAATATTACAAAGCGGAATAAATAATAAGAGTGGCAACGTCGCACTATACAAAGGAATTGCGTAGGTGACACAAGTCGCGGGCTCGTACTCATCGGAGGGCGCGAGCCAAAAAGCACGTTGTCTCACCTGGCATCGTGCCACTCGTACTAAATTATTAGGCGCTGCGTTATCGCTTTATACTATACCTCTATGGCTCTATAGATACCTAATATAGATTGCTTATTTTATTATGTTTAGTTTTCCCCGGGTGGTCATGCAGCGATCACTCAAGAGTTCACGACGCCGAAGTATGAACTGGAACAGTCATCGCAGTTTATATCCGTACTAGCTGTTGCCAGCGGCTTCAAACGCGTGAACTCGAAAATTATCCCACAGGAATGAAATACCTTAATAAACGGTATCAAATGTGTTATTCCAGACTAGGTATAACCTATCTCTGAGCTAAATATCATCCAGATCACTTCAGCTGTTCTGGCGTGATTGAGTAACATACATCTATCCATCCAAACTTTCACATTTAATTATAATATTTAGATAATAATTGTAATTAGTTCTGCCTACCTATAAATTGTTTTCAAAAATACTTACCTGTCTTCTTACTTTTTTTATATACACACAATATCACTAGATGTAAACACATGTTTTTATCAAGACAAGTGACCCGTCAAGACTGTTTCCTTAGTACCGACGTACTTAGGCAGGTAGGTAGGCAGTTTACATTTTAGTGTCCACGACGCAGCGACAGTTTGTCAAATTTTGTTGTATAGTAGGTTATGGGTATTTAGGTAATAACAGTAGGTAGGTACCTATCCACCGAACCGTCAACGCCGCGCAAGTGATTCTCGTCCCACCTGTCCGCGCAGTAACTTTTTTTACGACCGCGCGAGACTGTCGCAACAAAAACGATTACTACTGAAAAACTAATATAGGTACCTACCTAACATTCAAATAAAAATATTCTCAAAAAGCTCAACGAATTCAGAATTTAATTTTGTTAAAAGAAAATTGGTCAAATAAAAAATAAAGGATGAAAATAAAGCATATGGGGATATAAAAATAAATCGTATTTATTTTTTATTTCGAGTTTTACAAGAAAAGTATAATATTTACTGGAGACAATTATTTTATTATTATAATAGTACATGATATTCCCTTTAAAATGACACCAATATGAATAATATTTTATATCTCTATCTACAAATAAATAAAATTGAAGTGTCTGTTTCTAATGTTAAAACAACAGCTTTTTATTAAATGCACTAAATACTAGTAACAAAAACACAATTTTTAAAATTTTTATCTGTCTGTCTGTCTGTTTGTTCCAGCTAATCTCCGAAACAGCTGGATCTATTTTGACGGGACTTTCACTGGCAGATAGCTGATGATATAAGGAATAACTTGAACTACTTTTGTTTTAGAAAAAGAATTAGGGTTCCGCGCAAAAAAATTAAAACCCATGAAATCCATATTCCACGCGGGCGACATCGCGGGGAACAACTTGTACTCAATATAGATAAATGTATACTTATTTTTATTTATTTATTATTTTAATAAATAAATAAAAATTAGTATTAATAATTTCTAGACACATCTCAACAGATATTTCGTTAATAAATTACTATCAATACTGAAGCATTCTTTTATATTTAGCATACATTTAACACAAAAAACTGATAAGAATACTTTTTAAACAACATATAATCAATAAACGTTAATCGCGTATAGTGAATTTCGAGGTAAATTATTATATGTAAGTAAACGTTTTTGAATCGTCGTAATGATACATATTTCCAAAAGAAAATATCTTCACAATTAATTTGATGTAAAATAACATTAGAAATTACGTATAAAAACGGAGAAATTATCAAATTTTTGATCGAGTTCCTAACCAGTACACAAACAAAAATGGCGAATAGTCATTTTCACATTTTTTTTGAAATAACGTATAAAAACAGAAAAATTATCAAATTTTTGATCGAGTTCCTAACCAGTACACAAACAAAAATGGCGGAATGTCATTTTCAAATTTTTTTCTATATAGTTATTTGTTACAGAGTACACAGATAAAATTCACTCTCATAGATGACAAATTTCAAACACCACAATCTCTAATTTTTTACTCTGCTATCTTCAGCGCTGTACACGAACGGAACGATGTCATTGAGAGCCGTGGTTGCTCACATGGTTAGCGCTCGTTATAAGTATCACAGTACGGGAGCAACCCGGGTTCGATCCCTACTGGCACCAATGAAATTGTTGCGTGCTGATTTAGCTATCAGTTGGAAAGTCTGTTTTTCTGGGCCGTTTTGTTTTGTTACACTGACATCTCGCAAGTCACCTAGGGACCTAGGAGGTTGTCGGTTGCATATTTTTTATTTTTCTTTAAAATTAACGTCGGTAAAATAATATATTTATAAAAGTAAAAAAAAGTAAAGTTACAGCCTATATACGTCCCACTGCTGGGCACAGGCCTCCTCTAATTTCTGAGAGGGTTTTAAGGCAAGGAAATGTCCGCCACGCTGCCTCAATACGTGTTGACGAACTTCACATGTCTTCGAAATATATATTTTTTAATTTCTCAGACATGCAGACCCGAGTTCGATCCGCGCCGGCACCAATTAAATTGTTAA